AGAGTTTTTGGATATGAAGTGTTAACTCTGCTTCTCTCCCTACAGATTCTGCTAGACCTGCTGAATTTCTCAAAGCTGGGCAATGCTTGACCAATTGAATCAAATGTTCTGAGAATTCAGATAAGTCATTGATAAAGAGAATGTGGTGCAGTTTGTCCAAATGTTTGTTTGATTAATTTGTCACATAAGGTAAACTTCTAATATGAAAAAAGGGGCTATTGAAGTGAGTGTCCCAACACAGATAGGGAAATGACAAGATTTAGAAAGAATAGGTAAATGAAGAAAGCTCGGATAAAGAGCTCTGGTGGATTTATGGATTGTTAGAATGTGGGCAGTGATGAGATACAGGGATCTATGCTGCAGTTAATCTTCCCTCTAATTTCTGTTCATTATACACCATCTATATGTTGTACTGAGTGGTCCTTTAAGATTGCTGTGTGGCTGTCCATATGTGCATCTTAAAAGAGCCACTGGCCCTGCACAGCACCATACAGATTGTTGTGTGGCTGCATGTCAAAATAGATTTGGATATGAGGATACAAGAGCAATGGTATGAGTTTTCTGTTCTGCATAATTGTATTATATCAAATCACATTTATGCAGGGTAATACCAATCAAAGCATAGGAGCGAATTTTCATGGAGTGAGAATGATGCCAGAGCCATCTAAAATGATGGGTAGACTCTGACTCCTGACCAGTTCCAAGCAGTGCTAGTCAGTGTGGGATAAAGGTATGAACTGTGTGCCCCATATTCCAGGCTCCTTTGTGATTAGTGGATCTCCTAGAAGTTTCTCCATGACTTGTGGTTCATGGGCCCTCAGAGGATTCAAGAGCCAGTGTCTGGAGTGCTGGACTCAGGAACTTATTCAAAAGTAAGTTCAAGTGGTCTTATCCTTGGATCCAAGCTACTCCCCATGACCCCTCATACTTGCCACTCCAACTCAATATCAACTTGTGTCTCTTCCATGCCATTCACCTTTTATGCATTAGACACTTAAACAATAGGCTATATAATGGCCATGGTAAATGTGGAATGGCTCAGAAAAAAAAAATCAGAAGTGTCTTTTGAAAAAAGATTTGTTTGTACATCCTTTTATAAGTATCGGTCATTCAGACCATTGAAGTGTCAATCAGAAAGGTTTCAAACACTTCATACTTCTTAGTGTTGTCCAAATAAGTTGAAACATTGACAAAAGAGACCAAAGAAAGTACAACAAACTGTAGCCACTTAAAGATGTCAATCAAGCAAAGCAAAAATTGATTTCACTTGTCAAAACTGAATTCCTGCTGAACAAAAGCCTTTATTGGTTTGAGTTTTCAGTTAAGCATGCAAGATGGAAACCCAAAAAGCTTTCAAAAAAAAACTGAAGGAAATGTGAATGCTGTAATTCAGGAACAAAAACAGAAGTTGCTGAAAAAGCTCAGCAGGTCTAGCAGCACCTGTGAAGAAAAAATCAGAGTTAACATTTTGGGTCTGGTGACCCTTCCTCAGAACGGGTCACTGGACCTGAAACGTTAACCCAAATAGCTTTGACCTTATTAGACAAACCTGGCTGAGAGCCCAGATCAATAAAAGCTCGAGTTGAGCAAAAACTCTGTTTTGACAAGTGAAGTGTGTTGTTGACTTTGCTTGATTGCCAATCTGGTGATTATGATAAGCTATGCTTTCTGCGCACTCTTTCGTCAATGTCTCAGTGATTATTTGGACAAGGTTTGAAAATATGAAGTATTTGAAGTTTCTGTGATTGATATTTTAATAGTCTGTCTTACTGACACTTTTATAGGGTTGTAAAAACAGCAGTGTTTTATCAAAGAACATTTCTGGCTGGGTCTTTATTTTTCAGCTGTTCCATAGTCATTGTATGGCTCATTAGTTCTGTCCATGGTGCCTGCTGGATGATAGGACAAGAAAGGGGCATTAATTGGCATTGAGTTAGCATGAAGAGCATGAGATGCTGTGGGAATGGCTGGATGTCATGAGCTGGTAAGTATGAGTGGCCTTGGCAGTGGATAAGGCAGCATGAGTTAGTATTACATTGGTGTGGAGAGTATGAAGGAATAGGCCTAGAGGGCATAAGTGTTCTTAATAGAAACAGGATAAAGTCACAGAGAAGCAAGGTTGGTTGCTTCTGTAGCCCATCTTGGCACTTGTACACCCACATGGTTGCCTAGGATCAGCCTGCAGTGTTGGTGGGCCTGACTCCATCCCATTCCCACCTTCTTGCAGTGAAAATATTTGGGCCCCATTAAATTGATGCAGGTCTACACAGTCAGGAAACTTCACAACTTGAAATATTCACCTTAATTGAAGGAATTCAGTCCAAAATGTTCTATGGCACTTCACAGCAGTGTTAGCGGACAAAATTTGACACTGAGCCACATAAAGGGACATTAGAAGGTGTAAGCAAAAATGTAGTTGAAGTGATAGATTTTGAAGAGTATTTTAAATGTAGGACAGTGGTAGTGAGGCAGTGAAGTTTAGGAGGGAATTCCAGAGCTTCAGATAAAGGTAACCAAAGACACCATTTCCAGTTTGAACAGAAATGAGTGCATTCTTTTCAGCCTAAAGACTGTAAAGCCATCAAATTAAACAACATAGGACTGGGCCAGTTCATTGAAAAAAGTTATTCAATTAGTCCCAATCCCTTGCCCTTTCCTCATAGATTTGTGATTTTTTTAATTTTTAAAAGTTGTTTTCTCCCACTCATTGCAGTACATGAATCTTCACTTTCTCTTTTTTTAAAAAGGGATTACATTCATCCAATTCAGTGGAAACTCCACTGTTGAAACTGCGTGATTATTTAATAGTCAATTTTTAAAGCCTTTTTTTAGACATAACTTCATTATGTAGCCTTTCTTCTCATTTTTACTTATCAATTTTTGACATTGGTGAAAAAGAATCATAAAAAGGCTCTTAAAAATAAAAATTGTGCTGAAAACCACATATCATACATGTAAACATATGGGAAAGTTTTGTTTTGTTCATTTATGATGACTTCTACACTTTTAACGCAACATTATGCCTTCAGATGTTGACAAATATCTTGGCATTTTCAGATTTGCAACATTTCACAACATTTCATGTATAAATCATATTCAGCTTGCCTTCATTCCTATTGGGGTGTTGTCTATGCATAAGCCTTTTCTTCAGCGCTCCTTGAATATATGCTCCACGATCTGTCATTCCAACAGGCAGGAAATGGAGGTTCTACCGGTACAAAATCTAAATTCTTACTTGTTTAGAGCATAGCAGTTTGCGACTGAACTCATATCCCAGGTCACGTGAGCTTAAATATCCCACCTCTGCAAAGTTTTTGGTTTTAAGCTTGCAATTAGCTTCAACTAACCTGGAAAGCCTGTTCTCTGCCAACCTTTGGGGAACCATGCCACCTACACCTGGCCTTCACTTGTGTTGCAAATTCCAGTTTGTCATATTCTTTTAATCAATGAACTAACCTCACCCACCCTGATTAATGAATAATTTTATAAACAACAACAAAAGTGCTGGAATATCATTAGGAGTTTGTAGGAGCTTGAGATATACAAGGGCTGAACACAATGTTAGTGTAAACTCTTATCATTTATTGCCCATAACTATATATATGTGAAGTTAGTACAACAGGAGTCAAAAAATGTGGAGCCGGAAAAGCACAGCAGGTCAGACAGAATCTGAGGAGCAGGAAAGTCAACGGTTCGGGTTGGAACCCTTCTACTGTCCTTCTTCTGTCCTGAGGAAGGGTTCCGAACCAAAAGTTTCTTGCTCCTTGGATGCTGTCTTTTCCAGCTCCACATTTTTTGACTCTAGCTTCCAGCATCTGCAGTCCTTTCTGTTTCCTTAGTACAACAGGACTTCACTAGTGTCACCTTCCATCAGGTCTCAGGTCCATGTGGTCTGTCATAATTTTGCCACATTTCCTTATGCTGGGCAACTATGGTCAGAGTACTGACAGTTCACTCCAAAAAGTGTAGTGAAACAAAATTGTTCAATGGAAGCAAAATGCTGGCAACCTGGAATATAAACTGGAAATACATTTGGAGAAGGAAACAGAGTTGATGTTTCAAGTGAATATGACTCCTTCAGAACTGACAAAATTTTGAATGCCTCTGCAATATTTCTCTACCGAGTGTTTTTTTAATGCATTTTTTATAAGCTTTTATTTACAGAACACCTCCTCACCAAGTAACCAGTTTTGTGTGTGTTCCTTTTATACCTGTTTTGATCCAACACAGATGGTTGCCAGTATAGGAACTAAGTTCCCTCACAGGTTTCGCTTTTCGAGTTAGTGTTGCCTTCTCCCAGTAAGGTCCTGGAGGTGAATCTTGCCGAAATCCTGGAGACTTCAGGATATTCTGGAATGTTGGCGATCTCTAATCTACAAGTGACTCTAACCCTGCAGAATGTGGTGACTTCCGGACCAGCTCCAATGAAAACTCTCACATTCTCCAAAAAGGTTTGCCAGAAAATTACCTGCGGGGGCAACCGTGACTGATTTCTAAATACAGTCTGGTCAAAGTTGCCAGGAACCCGAGAACGGGTGAAGGAAAGAGCACGTTTTAAGTTGGCATCAGCAGGGTTAAACGCAGAGGCCAAAATAACTGTTTGTTTCTAGGTAGGAATTTGCCTGACATCCAGGCACATCTGTCACTCTCAGCGCCGTTCAGAAACTAAAGAAGACGGAATGTTTGTACGTGATTCGTGTTGCAGGCTTGTGTACTTACCTCCCTGCATTCTGCTTGGCTGCTTTCCCTGTACGGGATAAGCTTTGAATCGCTGATAATTGACTGGCGGTAATGTCCCATTCTGTCTCCCCATAGTAACTCATCTCCTCACACACACACACACACACACATGCAGCTTATTGAGAAAATAAAACGAGAGGAGCTGAACTTTGACACATATCTGCTGACACCCTTGTGGAGTGCAAATCGAGTGACGTCCTCTTTCTGTGTCTTACTTTTTTTTTCGCGAAAAGGGAACAGGAAACACGCCTCCTCTCGTACAAGCCTGTGTGCCAGCAGCCTGTGTGTGTGTGTCTGTGTGTGTGTGAGAGAGAGGAGAGACGGGGTCAGGAGCTGAACTCCTTCAGCACCGAGCCTGCTAAACCCAGTCTGTCGCGGCTGCATTGTGAAGCAGCCAGCACTGATGTTGTATTGCCATTGACATTTCCTGCTTCAGGCGCCAACCAATGAGCTCGGAGCAGCGCCGGAGCGACGACACATGAAATATGATAATTTGCTGCTTGATAGCCAGAGAGAGAAGAACTGGTCCTATTGCGATGGTTTCCCTGACAAGGCCAAGCAGATGGGGCTTCTTTTCAGTGGCTACCTGGATGAGGGGGTGCTGAATGACTTTACCTCTGGGAGAAGCAGAGGACACCGTTATCCAGGTGAGAGCGGGGTTGGGGGGGACACATGGCCTGTGTGTGTGTGTGTGTGTGCGCATTTCTGGATGTGCATGTGTGTTTGCAATGAGTAGGTGGATATTTCTGTGCCTAATGATGCTGAAGCTCCCGATCGCTTGCCAGCGTTTCATTTATTCCTCCTCCCAATTCATTTTTATTCTATGTGGAAAGCTGAATGCTGTATATTTTTCTACTGTCGTCACTCTCTCTCATGTTGGACTAACGATGGAATCCTTGCTGGCAGTGAATTATTCTAAGCCTCTTCCCCCCCCCCCCCCCCCCCCCCCCCCCCCCGCCTTTAGTTCTTAGGAAAAGAATGAAATCAAATACCCTTTTACAGTGCGCTGCTTGCTTTCTCTCTGAAAGCAGGTGCCTGCGGGAGATATTACAAGACTGTGCAGCTGGGAAGATATTGCAGCAGAGTGCTAGAGAGGTAGGGAGGGGACAAGGATAGGGATCGGTCTGGAAGCCAGAGTCAGGGTGCATTGCAACCCGCATTTAGACAGGACTTGGGGGCAGTGGAAAGAGACGCGAGTGTTTTTTTTTCTTGCTGTCCGTTGGTGCCTTTGGGTTTTCATGTTGCTTTCTCACAGCTGCTGAGTGCAAGCCACTGTGTTGCTGAGCTCATTCGAGTACCTTAAAGACGCTTCTAGAGGCCTTGACTGAACCTTGGAGTACTGACTGAAGGCAGGGGCGAAGTGCTACGGGGTTGATGAGGGGGAAGAATTTTTTTATATATAAAAGGCTGCTTCAACGTAACCCTTAAGGTACCAGGCTATAGTGCCGGTGCCATAGCAACACATCACTCGTTACACAGTATTGGCCATTAATCATTAATTTAATAGGAGGATGGTGACATCACTATACAGGTCTGCAGCCTTATTTTAAGAATGAAAATAATAGTAACCCCCAAAGATCTTAGGGAATTTTATGCAAGTGTATTCCTGTGCAGAACAAAATGTTCTGTTTTTGAAAAGATCAGAAATGAAATTTAATGAAATATGGTGTTTTTTGTATTTATATTACAAAAAAAACACGATTAGTTATTTGAGTTGCTTTAGCTTGTGTGATGCTGGGCAAACAGACTCTTGGGTTCCAAAACATCTGACAAAGATACAGTCTGTGCATCATGAACTGTACACATTTGGAGCATGAGTTGACAGCAGACAGTTTGTCAGAGGGCTGACCTCACAGAAGTGTTTAACAATTATTGTGGGTTTTGACAGGGTTGATATAGAGAAGCTGTTTCTGGTTGTGGGGAGGTCAAAACTGGGTGCCATAAAGATAACATAATCACGAATAAATCCAATAGGCAATTCAGGAGGAGCTCTTTTATCCTGAGAGAGGTAACAATCCAGAGCTCGCGACCACCAGGATTATTTGTGACAAATGTTATAGATGCATTTAAGGGCCTGTCTCCATTCTTTAAAATCAGTGTTGTTCTTTGTCAGCTTAAAGTGACTGACTTGAACTTAGATGATCCACAGGGCTGGTAATGTTGGAAATCACGAGAGAGAAGTTTTGATTTTGTTCTGCTCTCCACTGCCCTCGCATTGGTGATGTGGAGCAGTGGCACAGGGGTCAAAGCCTGCGTTAATTTAAATTGCTCCTGTGTGAGCCTGTGGCCAACATTAATGAGAGGGGAGTGGGAGGGAAGGTGGAGATTGGCAACTTGACCTGTCTGTAGCCTTGCCTGAGGTCCATGCATTGCCTGATCGAAATGCCAACAGGAGAGTGGAACACAGGTTGGTTGTACTGTTTTAACTCCCTCCCTGACAAGGGGGCTGAGATCAGCTTTTGCCCACGTTGCTGTCTGAGCTAAAGAATCTGATCTGGGATATTCTGGCTGACTTCCAGACAGGCGAATGATGACAATCAGGAAAGGACTGTCCAGCTTGTGCCACAATACTTCAATATCTTGTGTGTCATGATACATGTCCTTCCCTCTCACCTGCACATACTGCACTCCACCCAAAACCATGTGCCTCACCTGCAAAGAGGCAAACATCAAGATCAAAGCAGGCATATTTCAGAATCAAACAAAGTCTGGAAGATTTTAATCTGAGCCCCTTAGCTGATGGGAACTAGTTCAGGAGCTTAACACTGGCTAAGATTTATTTGCAGAGTGATCAAGGGCTATCTCTGTGTTGTAATTTTTGTGAGTATGTCTGAAGGTAAAGGCACAGTATAGCGGCATTTCTTGAATCACAAAGTAATTTGGAACCATCATCTGATGTGTGATATTTTTCTTGTCTTATGGTTACATGTAGCAGAAATAATTTTACAACAGAAGCCGTGTAGTACGGCTGGCAATGTTAAAGTGAATCACAACTGAATTTCTCCAGGGTTTCAACTGAGATTTAGTAACAGTTCTGTACTGCTGAGTATGGTAATTCAGTTCTTGTCACCTGCCTTTTTAAGAATAAATGCAAAGTCTTACATCAAATTTTACTTTCTCCTCACACAGTTCTCTAAGCTTTGACTCTTTATTGGATACAACTAGATAGCTAACCCACAAGCTAGCTCCCAGTGCCTTTAAGTTAAAGTGCAAGGTTTGATGGTGAAATGTTGGTGGACTTTTCATTGTCAGGATGGGAGACATGGATTCATCACTGATTCATCACTCACTATGTCTCCACAAGAGCGCATTGCCCCATGGATCAAGTGCCTATCTGATTTTTGAGATGTGCACAGGTGTTGAATTTTCCTCCTATATGGAGCATGGTGATACGTATTTTTCAGTTCAAAACTGTGACTAATCGATTTTTATGAAGCATGGGGATTGAGAGTTGTGGAAGCAAGGCTAACAAATGGAGTTGTGGAAGCAAGGACGGTAAATGGAGTTGAGATACGGATGAGTTATGATCTGATTGAATGGCAGAAAGGAAAGGGGCTGAATGGCTGACTTCCATTCCTGTGTACCTTAGCCTGGGCTTGCCAATACAAAATCCATGCAGGAAACTTAGTTCAGCTGCATCTTAGAAGAACTCAACTGACCTTATAGAAGTTTATAAAATCATGGGGACATGAATAGGGTAAACTGACAAGGTCTTTTCTCTGGGGTGGGGGAGTCCAAAACTAGAGGGCATAGGTTTCAGGTGAGAGGGGAAAGATTTAAAAGGGACCTAAGGGACAACATTTTCATGCAGAGGGTGGTGCCTGTATGGAATGAGCTGCCAGAGGGAGTGCAACATTACAACAACACGCTTAACAGAACTTGTCCTTATCCTGAACAACTTCTCCTTTAACTCCTCCCACTTCCGACAGACTAAGGGGGCAGCCATCTGTATCCGCATAGGCCCAAGCTATGCCTGCCTCTTTGTAGGATACATGGAACAGTCACTTTTCCGCTGTTACACTGACACTATCCCCCACCTCTTCCTCCGCTACATTGATGACTGTATTGGCGCTGCCTCGTGCTCCCATGAGGAGGTTGAACAGTTCATCAACTTTACTAACACCTCTCACCCCAACCTCAAATTCACCTGGACCATCTCTGATATCTCCCTCTCCTTGAACCTCTCCATCTCCATCTCTGGTAACTGCCTTGAAACTGACATCTATTTCAAGTCCACTGACTACCTAGACTACACCTCCTGTCACCCACCTTCCTGCAAGAATGCGTTCCCTACTCCCAATTTCTCTGCCTTCATGGTATCTGCTCCCAAGATGGAGTGTTCCACTCCTGGACAGCCCAGATGTCCTCCTATTTCAAGGACTGCAACTTCACCCCTCCGATGATCAAAAATACCCTCAACCACATCTCTTGCACTTCCCGCTCTTCTGCCCTCAAACCCACTCCCCCCCAACAAAAATAAAGACAGAATCCTCCTTGTCCTCACATACCACCCCACCAAGCTCTGCATCCAGCATATCACTCTCCGTCACTTCTGCCATCTACAATCTGACCCCATGACCAAAGAGATATTTCTCTCCCCACTCCTATCTGCCTTTCATAAGGACCACTCTCTCCGCGACTCCATCATCCACTCCACGCTCCCTACTAACCCCACCACACCCGGCACCTTTCACTGCAACCGCAGGAAGTGCTACTCCTGCCCCTACACCTCCCCCCACCCTCACCTCCATCCAAAGCCCAAGGCAAACCTTTCATATCAGACAGGGGTTCATCTGTACATCCGTCAACTTGGTCTCCAGTATCCGCTGCTCCGGATGTGGCCTCCTCTACATTGGTGAGACCAAGCGTAGACTCAGAGACTGTTTCGTAGAATATCTGCGCTCTGTTCACGACAAACGACAACACCTTCCGGTCGCCAACCAATTTAACTCTGCCTCCCACTCCCTGGTTGACATGTCCATGCTGGGCTTTCTCCAGCGTCACAATGACGCCACTCAGAAACTGGAGGAGCAGCATCTCATATTCTGCCTCGGGAGCCTACAGCCCAATGGCCTAAACATGGAATTCACCGGAAGTTGCTGGAAACTCAGCAGATATGGCAGCACCTGTCAAGAAAAAATCAGAGATAACGTTTCATGTCCAGTGATCCTTCCTAACTCAGTTCTGAGGAAGGTTCATCTGACCCGAAACGTTAACTTCGATGTTTTCTTCACACATGCTGCCGGACCTGCTGAGCTTTCCCAACAACTTCTGTTTTTGTTCCTGATTTACAGCATCCGCAGTTCTTTCAGTTTTTACACGGAGTTCACCAATTTTAAAATCTCCCCACCACCGACCTCATCCCATGTCCAACCCTCCCTCTCATCCCCACCTCCTTGACCTGACACAACCTGTCCATCTTCTCTCCCACCTATCCGCTCCTCCCATCCCACTGACCAATCCCCACCACTGCCTACCTGCACTCACCTATAACCATCCCACCTACCTTCTCGAGCTCCACCCCTCTTCTCTATTTATTTCCTAGGTCCCTTTCCCCTTCCCTTTTCTGAAAAAGGATGCCAACACAAAATGTCAACTTTCCTGCTCCTCTGATGCTGCCTGGCCTGCTGTGTTCATCCACCTCCAC